TTTTTGGTCTTTTTGAGACAGGGTCTCCCTGTAGCCCCAGCTGTCCTGGAACTCACTATGTAGACCAGGCTAGCCTCAGACTCACAAAGATCCACCTGCCTCTGTCTCGCAAGTGCTGGGATTAATGACTGGCCTATACCTTATTTTTTTAAATTGGGACCTGGTGCTCACTGATTAGGCTGGGCTGCTAGGCAGTGAGCCTAGGGGTCTCTCTGCTTCCCCTGTGCTGATAGTATGCATCTGGGGTTTTTATATGGGTGTTCAAATTCAGGTCTTTCATGCTTGGGTGGCAAGCACTTTACTGATTGAGCCAACCCTCTAACCCCCTTATTTATTTATTTGTCTCCCTTTTTGAAACAGATCTTACTATGTAGCTTTGACTGGCCTAGAACTTGGTATTTAGACCAGGGTGGCCTCAAACTCAGAGATCCATCTACCTCTGCTTCCCAAGTTTTGGGAGTAAAGGTACCATCCTGGCACCCCTTGATTTCTTATTACATGGTAACCTTCCCTAGGGAAAGGCTGGAATATTAAAAAACAAACAAACAAACAAAACTGAATGAAGATAAGCACTGTGGGTTAACAGTGAATGATTTATCATCTTTATGTCTGGTACAAATCAGGGTTGTCTTTTTTTCTTCCCTTCAAAAATAGTTTGGAGTATCTTCTTTTTAAGACCTCATTTATACTTGTGCACAAAGTAAACCATGTTTATTTATTTACATATTTATTTTGTTGGGAATCAAACCCAAGGTTTTGTGCATGCTAAACATACGCTATCACTGAGCTATACCCCAAACCTAGATTGTATATATTGGTTGAGTAAATAAACAGAGGAACTTGGCATGGCGGAACACGCCTTTAATACCAGGACTTGGGAGACAGAGGCAGGTGGATCTCTGTGAGATCGAGGCCAGCCTGGTCTATATAGCGAGTTCTAGGATAGCTGGAGCTACAGGGAGACTCTGTCTCAAAAAGACAATAAATAAATAAACAGATGAAGAAATGATTGAGAAATATAGACAATTATACATGCAGATACCAGATTAAAGATTATGTAAGAAAAATGTTTATTTAATCCTAAATTTATTCCAAATCTAAATTTTAATAAGTAGTATTTTTGTAGGATTCTTATGTCTGCTGGTGTGTGATGTGTATAGGATAAACAAGAAAAGGCAGGGCTGAGAGATGGCTTGACAGGTAAAGGCTTTTTTTACCTGATGACGTGAGTTCTTTGCCTGAAACTTACATAAAGGTGGAAGTAGAGAACCAGCCTCCATGTTCAAGCTGAGAAACACCCCTACCCCCACATATGCACAGATGCATGCACACACAAAATAATAAAAACAAATAATTAAAAGACATAATTTTTGATCCCTAAAGCATATGGTTAACAGGAACGTAACAGTATTTTTAAAGGTAAGTAAGCTATTTTCTATTTCTTTTAATTACTTTCCTTCTAGCTGTTTAGGTGTATTCTGAATTAGGTTTTTTAGTTCCCTTGTTGGCTATGAATGAGGAGTTGTATAAAGAACCCATACTTTGGGCTTAAACAGTTATGGGTTCCATTAGGTTTTAAATCCTCATCTATTTTCTCCACAGGGAGCATTTCCAGCTCGTTTGAAGAAGGTGCTGATTGTGGGAGCACCCATATGGTTCCGAGTGCCCTATTCTATTATCAGCCTGCTCTTGAAGGACAAAGTCCGGGAGAGGGTAAGGCAAGCTGTCTTTCTTGTTGGAGGTAGATAAATATATTCTAGAGTTTACTGGTGAAATCTTGTTAATTAGTTTTCTACTTTGAAAAAAAATCTGCCTGGCTTATCTCAAAACACTTTCTACTTTTTTTTTTTTTTTTTTTTTTTTTTGAGAGAGGGTCACCCTGTATCCCAGCTGGCTGATGTATTTAGTTACATTCTCTACTTTATTTATTTATTAGCTTGGACAGACTGCCTGCTTCCTTCGTTGTCCATAAGCTTGTAGGTATCTGGTTTTCCCTCCACAGCACCTTGCCTAAGATAGTACTGACTCAGTGTGTCCCAGAAGTAGTTTAAGGATTGTTACAGTTTCCAAAGTTTAACCTAGTACTGCACAAGCCTTTAATATTTAACAGTATTTAAAGGCTGGGAGTGTAACTCTGTGACAGAGTGCATACTCAGCATGCCCAAGGTTCACTCCCCAGAACCCCAAACCAAAACCAAGACCAAAAATCAGCCTTTAATATATATTAGTTGAAACTGGTATTAAAATTTGTTTACCTGGGGCTGGGGATGTAGCACAGTGGTAACTTGCCTGGCATTAAGGAGACCCTGGGTTCCATTTCCAGCATTGTGAAAAAATTAAAATCAAACACTAGTTTGTTTGCCTGGAAGTACCATTAAGTCCCTTTGACCATCAGGGTAATGGGGAGACTCCTTCACTGTGTCTTTACCTAATTTTGTTTCTTCCTTTTTGTTTGCTTTTTGAGACAGGGTTTTACTCTGTAGCTAAGGCTGGCCTGGAACTTACTATGTTGTAGCCCAGGCTGGCATCACATTCATGACAGTCTTCCTGTCTCAACCTTCTAGTTACTGGGATTTTAGCAATGGGCCACCATATACAGCTTCTGGCATTTTTTTCTTAAAACAGGTTCTTGTCCAAAATTACTGTAATTCTGTTATAATGTTTTGATTTTTTTTTTTAAAAGACAGAGCCTCACTATAAAACCTGACTGGCATGGAACTTGCTATGTAGATCAGGCTGGCCTCAAGCTCACAGAGTTATACCTGCATCGCTAGTACTGGGATTAAAGGCATGCGCTGCCATGCCTGGTCATCTCCTGAGTGTTTAATGTCTTAAAAATGGTCTCCATCACTAATTGTAGCCCTTAAAAGAAATGACATAAGAAACATTGGTGTTTAACTGGGCATGATGGTGATATCCTACAATCTTAGTACTTGGGAGATAGCAGAAGAATCAGGAGGTTCAAGGTCTATCCTTGGTTACATAGTATATTTGAGACCAGTCTGAGCTACATGAGAGTCTGTTAAAAAAAAAAAGACAAATAAAATATTGGCATACTAAAGTAAAATAATAAAGATTGTTTTTGAAATATTTAGTGCAAGATTTTTATGGTAATGAATTATAAATTAAAAATAATGTAGACTTTTGAAACTGAGGTGACTGGGGTCAGAAAGGAGAAAATGAAGACATTTGATGCTAAGGAAGCTATATAGAAACCTGATGACTCAAGATTAGGACATTTATTTCCTAAGGTAACTCTTTGGTGGTGTATTGGTTTTTGAGACAGGAGTTTCCTTATGTAGCCCTAGATGGCCTAGTATTCACTATGTAGACCAGTGTGATCTCAGAATGGCAGCAATCCTCTTGCTTCTGCTGGGATTTCTACTGTTTATCACTGTACCCTTCTTTGTGTCCGTTAAACATATCTTGCATTTGAATTATAAAAACTTAAAACATGTTGAACAAGTCAACAGTTCAGACCTATGCCCAAGGAATTAATAAACATTGACTGAGACAATTCTTACTCTTGAGAAGTTTATGGTCCTGATAGGGAACACAGAGGTACACATATTAGGGAGAATATTGCCTTAGGCATTCAGGAAGGGGCTTCACTGACGAGGCTAGGCTTGAGCTGGTTCTTGGTAGGGGAGGAAATGATAGCATTTTAAGAAGAGGCTTGGGGCTGGAGAGATTGCTTGGTGGTTAAGAGTACTTGTGGTTCTTGCAGAGGACCCAGTTAGGTGTCCAGCACCTACATTGAGCAGCTCACAACTGCCTGTAATTCCATCTCCATGGAACCTGACACCTTCTTCTGGCCTCCATAGGCACACACACACACACACACAGACACACACAGACACACACACACACACATACACACACACACAAATAAAAATAATGTAAGTCTTAGAAATAAAAAAAGAGGCACCAGCAAGGAGGACAAGAATAGCATTCACATACTACAAAGTTTCTAAGAATTGGGGCTGGAGAGATGGCTCAGTGGTTAAGAACACTGGTTATTCTTGCAGAAGACCTGGGTTCGCATCCCAGCACCCACATGGCAGCTAACAACTGTTCATAGCTCCAGTCCCAGGGGATCTGACAGCCTCTTATGACCTCTGCAGGCATTGCACGACACGGGTGCACTTAGCTACATGCAGGCAATCCATGAATATACATAAAATAAAAATAATAAATAAAATATAAAAAAAAGATTCTAAGAATTAACCAGCTAGATGCTGGTCTAGCATGACTGTATTTAAGCAGAGAGCAGAATTATGTATTAGGGTTACTTATCTAGTGTTTTTTTCCTAGGTTACCATTTCTAGGTGACTGATTTTGTCTTGCTTTCACAGAAATCTATCTTTGAGAATATTCATACCAAGCTGTGAGTAAAATATAAAATGGGATATTTAGGATAGGTTGTGTTATGGGATTGACAAAAATAATGACTTCCTGTGCATTCTTAGTGACCATAAAGAAGAGTACTGTTAGCATGAGATGGTGCTGAGCAGCCTTATTAACTGTATGAAGCCTTTGTTCACTCTTCCTTTCTTTCACAAGCTAAATAATGTGGCTCCTAAGTCCAGGAGTGAATGCAATAGACATTCTGGGAATTCAAAATTTCTCTGAGAAAATTTATAAAATTTTAATCCTAAGCAGATAAAACACAGTTCTTTTATTTTACAAAAACATAGGTTTTTTTTTTTTTTTTTTTTTGTCTTTTTGAGACAGGGTCTTCCTGTAGCAAAGACCCACCTGCCTCTGCCTTCTAGGTGCTGGGCTTAAAGGTGTGTGCCACCATGCCCAGCCTAAATACATAGTATTTTAAGCAAATCTTAACTGATTCCTCAAACCTAACTATGACTACATTTGTTTTTTATCATCACAGTCTGTATGCCTCCTGATGCACAGCCCCCATACTTAATAGCTCTTTTTGTCTTTACAGATTCAGATATTAAAAACATCGGAGGTTACCCAACACCTGCCTAGGGAGTGCCTTCCAGAAAACTTGGGTGGGTACGTCAAAATTGACCTCGCCACTTGGAATTTCCAGTTCCTGCCCCAAGTGAACGGCCACCCAGATCCCTTTGATGAGATCATCCTGTTCTCCTTACCTCCTGCCTTAGACTGGGACTCAGTGCATGTTCCAGGTCCCCATGCTATGACCATCCAAGAGTTGGTAGACTATGTCAACACCAGGCAAAAGCGGGGGATATATGAGGAGTATGAAGACATTCGTCGTGAGAACCCTGTTGGCACTTTCCACTGTTCCATGTAAGTAGGAAAGGTTTGAATTAGAAATCAGTTATGGTCCTTCTGGCAAGAGATGATTGCAGCTGCTTCACCTCACTTCCTTAATAGAGGCTCTTCCTTATGTTAAGAAGCTTCATGGGATTGGGAGGTGGGTAAGTCAGTGAGAGTGCTTGCTTTGCCTGAGGACCTGTGTTCAAATCTCCCGCACCCGTATAAAAAGCTGGGAATGGATGAGCATTGCTGGGGGTGCAGAGTCAGGTGGATCCTGAGAGCTCACTGACCAAGGAAGTAAGGTGAAGAGAAATAGATGAAGATAGCCAATATCTTTCTCTGCCCTCTTCACGCATGCTCTCAGCATATCTGCACACTTACACGCACAGTACTAACACAGAATGTGTCACTGTCACTCAAGTTTCTCTCATCTAGAAAGAGTTATCTCCTGCTTTGAAATTTTTGATGGTCTTTGGTAGCAACAGAAAAACTTTGTAATATATCTTTGGATATTTTCTTAAAATGCAAATGCTTTTTTAAAAAGGTTCAAAGTGTAGTAAAATGCTAGATCTTGGGAGGAGGGATACTGTGTTTAAAAAGAATCCCAGGACTGGGGAGATGGCTCAGTGGTTAAGAGCACTGGTTGCTCTTGCAGAAGAACTAGATTCAGATGCCAGCACCCACATGGTTGCTAACAATAGTCAAACTCCAGTTCTAGGGGATCTAACACCCTCTTCTGGCCTCTGCAGACATTGCACAGAAGGGTGCACTTAAATACAGGGAAGACACCTACACACATAAAGCAAACAAACAAATAAACAAACAACTCAAGACAGGAAGAGGTTTGCCCCTTAGGAATTTAACCTCTTAGGATTTTCCTTCTCCTTAAATCTTACCATAAATGATCTGACTATTTTGTAACTCTGGTTTATAACTGTTCGATGGCTATTGTTGGCAGTGTAGCATAGGTCATTTCTCTTACCTTTTCTTTTTGTGAGGCGTGTGTGCATTTGTGTGTGCACATCTGGAGGCCAGAGGTCAATGGGGTGTCTTCCTCAATTGCTGTTTTTTTTTTTTTAAAGAGTCAGTGTTTTATTTTGTTTTACTTATTTTTTTTTGAGACAAGGTCTTACTATGTAGCCCTAGCTGACCTGGAACTTGGCTGCATAGACCAGGCTGGCTTTGAACTCAGATCCACCTGCCCCTGCCTCCCAGGTGCTGGGATTAAAGAACCTCAGTTGCGCTGATTAAAGAAATCAAGTTTCTCTCTCTCTCTCTCTCTCTCTCTCTCTCTCTCTCTCTCTCTCTCTCCCTCCCTCTCCCTTCCTCCCTCACTCTCTCCTCTCTCTCCTCTCTTTCTCTCTCTCTCCTCTCTCCCCGAAAACATTTTTCTCTCACACACATTAAACATACAACAATAATAAATTAAAATTAATGTAAAAGAATGCAAAGGAGCTATGGGGTTACCTGTCTTTAATTATAGCACTCTACAGGTAGAAGCAGGTGAATCTTTGTGAGTTTGAGGCTACCCACATAGTGAGACTTTCTCTTTTAAAAAAAAAAAAAAGCAAGCGGGCCTGTGGTTCCATGGTTGGCTGTGTCGGGAGTAGTGAGGTCTTGGGATGGATTCTTAGCACTGTAATAAATATAAGAGGAGAAAAAGGGAAGGGAAAGCATATGTTAAGAGGGAGAATTATTTTCTCCCACATAACTTATTTTCCTTCCTTCCTATGTGCTTATGTGCTAGAGAACTCTTTTTTCTTTCTTTTTTTTGGGGGAGGGGGGTCTTTTTTGAGACAGGGTCTCCCTGTAGCCCCAGCTGGCCTGGAACTCACAGTGTAGACCAGGCTGGCCTTGAACTCACAGAGATCCACCTGCCTCTGCCTTCCATGTGCTGGGATTAAAGGCATGTGCCACCATGCCTGGTGAGAACTCTCTTTCCCAAGTGGAGGAGCAGTTTTTCTCAGGTTGTCTTGGAACATACTATGTATCTCAGGTTAGTCTAAAGTGGTGATCCTCCTGACTCAGTTTCCCAAGTGCTGAGCCACCATCCACTCTTTTCCCCAGTAATGGTAGTAGCTCTTGTGAGTAGTATTAGTTGTCCTCCTTGTTTTTTCTTTTTCCTCTTTTTTAAGGCAGCTTTTTGTAGCCTAGACTGTCTCTTAAAATTGCTACATAGTTGAATTTGTTACTTTTCTGTTGCTGTGATAAGATTCCATGAACAAAAATGACTTAAAGAGGAAATAATTTATTTTGGCTTAGGGTTCCAGAGGGACAAGAGTCCATCATGGCAGGAAGGCCTAGCCACTAGTGGCAGGCATGGTGGCAAGAGCAGGAAGCTGAGCGCTCACATCTCCATCCACACACAGGAAGCAGAGAGTAAACTAGAAGTGGGGCAAGGCTATAAACTCTCAAAACTCACTCCCAGTGATGTACTTCCTTCACCAAAGCTCTACCTCCTAAAGGTTCCATAACCTCCCTAAACAGCACCACCTACAGGAGACATATGTGAGCCTATTACCACAGTAGCCAAGAATGACCTTGGACTTCTTTTTATTTTTATTTTTATGTGTATGAGTGTATTGCCTGCATGTATGTTAGTACACCCAAGTTATGCAGGGCTCACGGAGGACAGAAGAGGGCATTGGATCTCCTGGAACTGGAGTTAGAGACTATTGTTAGCCACCATGTGAGTACTGGGATTTGAACCTAGGTCTTCTTACAGAACTGCCAGTGCTCTTAACTGCTGAGCCATCTCTCCAACCCCTTTTTTATGACTTTGGACTTTTTTTTCTTTTTTGGTCTTTTCGAGACAGGGTCTTCCTGTAGCCCCAGCTTTCCTAGAACTCACTATGTAGACCAGGCTAGCCTTGAACTCACAGAGATCCAGTTTTGCCTGCCTCTGCCTCCCGAGTGCTGAGATTAAAGGCATGTGTCATCATGCCCGGTAATCTTGGACTTCTTATATCCCTGTTTCTACCTCCTGTGTGCTAGAATTACAGGTGTGTGCCACCATGTCTAGTTTTCTCTGGTAGTCTTGAATGAAGGAAGTAACTCGGAGCAGGGAGGAATACTTTTTGGGGATTTATGACCTTGATGTAGGTACTTCTGCAGTTACTCATGGCCCCAGTAATTGCATTAAATGAGCAGGTTTGTCTGTCTGCTTTACACCATTCAGACCATCTGCCTTTTGATAATCAGAGAAGACTTACTAGTCAGAGGAGAGGACTTCATAGTTTACCTCTTTATTCATCGACGAGCCCTACTTCATTATCTAGAACCCATAATCCTCATCAGCTTCTGGCCTCCCCTTCTTCCACTAGCTTCTAGTAGAGCTATCTATACAGAGCAAACTATGATTCCCATGGTTCGTGATTGTGAAGTTAATATCAGAGTGTTCACTATTGCTAAAATTCCTATGAACCAGGAGTGTTTCTCTTTTCTCTCCACTCCTATGCCTTTAAAAAAATATCTGGAGCTGGGTGTGGGGACACATACCTTTAATTCCAACATTCAGGAGGCAGATCTGTGAGATGGAGTCCAGCCTGGTCTCCATAGCGAGTTCCAGATCAACTGGGGCTACAGGGAGACCCTGTCTCAAAAAGACAAAAAAAAAACCCCAAAACAAAAAAAAAGTTTCGGTATTTATAAAGTCCCATTTATAAGTATTTTTATAAATCAATCTCCTTGTACAAATCTTTTTAAAGGATCGTGTGTGGGGGGGTTGAGCATAGGATGGTGCATATATGGAGATCAAAGGACAATGTCATTGGAGTCAGTTCTCTGCTTCCACTTTTGCATGTGTTCCTGGTATTAGACTCAGGCTTTCAAAGCAAGTGCATCATTTACAAAGATATCAGCCAACCCCCATAACTAAGAACATTTTACTCTATATTCTGAGGATGCTTTTCTGTTTTTTTATACGCCCCCCCAAGTTTTATGATTTAAATTTTAAGTCTTTGGTCCAATTTGAATGATTTTTGATAAATAATTTTTCATTTTATTTAGGGTGTGTAGTCACTACTGCACTGTCTATTGAAAATGGGAGTCTTCACACTGAATTTTCTTTGTATCTTTGTAAAAAATTAGTTATGCATATTTGTATGGGAAGAGGGCCTTTTTTTTTTTTTTTTTTTTTAAAGATATTGAACCAAGTATAGTGACTCAAAACTGAAATCTCAGTACTTAGGAGGCTGAGACAAGAGAATTGCCATGAGTTTGAGGCCAGCCTGGGCTACAGTATGAGGCCTTATCTCAGAAATACAAAACAAACATAGAACACTAAAAAGAGGGCCAGTGAGATGGCTCAGTGGGTAAAGGTGCTTGCTGCCAGCATTGATGATCTTTGCTGCCAACATTGATGATCTGAGTTTGATTCCCCAGGACACACATGTTGGAGAGAACGGAGTCTTGCAACTGACTCTCCTGTGTGGCTGCCACACAGGAACCATGGCACATATGCTTCTCCCCTCCCATCCACAGATGGTTTATCAGGTAAAGGCCCCTGCTACTAAGACCTATGACCTGGGTTTGATTCCTGGGACCCACATGATGGAAGGACAGAACTGACTCCCACAAGTTCTGTCTACTCTGATTTCCATATGTGCCCTCCTGCCCCAAATAGATAAATGTAATTTTTAAAAATTAAAACAAGATGGGAATAGTGGTGAATACCTTTAATCTCAGCACTCAGGAGGCAGAGGCAGGTGGATCTCTGTTAGATTGAGACCAGCCTGGTTTACATAGCAAGTTCCAGACTATCTGGGGCTATAGGAAGACTTTGTCTAGAAAAAACAAAACAAAAAATGTAGAAAAGTGTGAAATTTGAATCCACAACTTTCCATCATCAGAATTGACAGTTGTTACTCTTTTATCATATTTGTTTCATGTCATTTATTATAAGAAAGAATCATTATGAAGCTGCAATCTCTTCAGTCCCCTACCCCCTCAGTTCTCTATATTGTATTCAACAATATGCAATAATTTATTTTTTTTGAGACAGGGTCTTGTGTAGCTCTGGCTGGCCTCAA